CTCTCTCTCTCTCTCTCTCTCTCTCTCTCTCTCTCTCTCTCTCTCTCGGGGTTTAAAGGCCTCCAGAGTGCATGAAGAAAGGATGCTGGTGTCATGGAGGACACCCGGTCCTGGGAGGCAGGTTGCCGCTCAGTATCCCACCTGAAGCCATGGACCACGGCCTGTTTGGGGAGCTCAGCGTCCAGCCGGTCACTCTCCTGAGCCCTTGTGTGCTTCAGTACCCCAATCTGGCAATACAACTCACTGACATACAAATATCCTTTGCTGATTTCATCATAAGTCTGTTTGTGATTTTCACAGACACAGAAGAATCTACAGTATAAAGGGGGCCGAGCTATGGTGGTGGCCTCATTATTGCGTTCCTGCTCGATGACGTAGTTCAGCTGTCATCATCGGACCATGACTTCCAGTGCACAAGGGGACAGTTTGTGGCGTGAAAGCAAGGATGAGGGTCAACTCCTCCACTGCTCTCTTCAAATTGGGAGTGAGTCACTGCTCTAAATGAAAGAGTATCTTGGGGTCTTATTCACGAGTCAGGGTGAGGGTTGAGTTAGTTTTGCGAGTTTATGTACGAGATAAAAAAGCCTGCTTATTTTCTTACCTCAGCACAGCGGGCCAATCGCGGCATGAAGTCGGTGTGATTGTCGGTTTGGGAGAGTTACAAAAATAATCAGACACAGTTCCCCTTCCGTTGGTTGAGCTACGTTCCAACATTTACCCAAAAGTAATAAGCTTTCGGTAATGACCAAAACATTGAAATCTGACATCTAGGGGGAACTCAGACTTGAACCGCTGCTCATACGTGTCGACTCAGTCGAGGCGTTTCAGGCCTCTGATTTGGATTAGTTTTCCTTGACATCACATGTGTCCAGGTGTTGGTATGCGGCCCCAGTAATGTTCCATTCACAGGCCCTTCCACCCTCCTCCAGAACCTCCCTGCTCATCTGGACTGTCAGGAACTGGGCCTGCATGGCCTTCACTGCTCCTCCTCCAAAGGTAGACAACACCCACTGATGGGAACAACACGTACCGATACCAATGGCCAGTTTACATTTTATGTAATTTGCTGGAGGAACTGTAAACAGGGTAAAAATGTCCTGGGCAGTTAATCCTGTCTTGTAAAGTGATCTGAAACACTTGATGAGGCCTGAGTTGGAGACGAATTTCAACCACCTGTGTTTATTTGTTAGAGAATGAACACGCAGCCCTGGCCCAAAGCTGCATATAAAAACTTTATTGGATCACAAAAGGCCAATGAGTTAAATCGTATGAAACCAGAAAGAACAATGGACGTAGAAAACACACATACCACATAGTAACAAAACCCCTTAAAGTGACAGTACTAAGGCTCCAACACCGTCTGCTAATCTGGGCTCCAGAAGCGAAATGATTGTCACAGAATGTTATACAAACAACTCTGCTGGGAATTATGACCACATGCAACCAATCTGCTCTATCACGTATATTGTGAACAGTTGGTTCTGATGCAAGAAGTAGTTCTGCATTCATATCACAAAAACATTCTCACAGCAGTGTTGGGAAAGAGTTTACAACGTGTTTGAGTTCAAACTGAGGGCTCAGGTTTCCATCCTGTCTTAAACTAGACATCTGTATTTACATATTACTTTGACCATGGTCCCTTACGGAAGTGGGTTTAGTGGCTGATGTCGATGTCTAATGTCTGACACATTACATTTCCCCCCCCCAAATATTTTTTATAAGTTCTGGCACATGAATATTCCTCAGAAAGGTTTTATTCTAAGCCGTGTGTTAGAAATCTGAATTAAGCTGACCGTGTTTGAGTCACTTTCTGTAAAACTAAGTTTAATCATCACTAAATAGTCTTTGTATCACTTGTAAAATTTGGGCGATTTCTCAGAAACTGCCCTTGCATAATAAGTGTTTTGTGTCCTTGTAGATTACACAATGACTCTGAAGCAAAAGCACAGGTCTACATTAATCACAAGTAGTTTAGTCATTCACAAGACATGATATAAACTAGAAAGGGCCCCATGATACAGTCTGGTCTGGTCTTTTGGGGATACATTTTGAGGTCATAATTGTTGTTACTTTATAACCAAGAAAAGATTTTGTCAACATCTGTTGACTCACTCAATGTTGGTGAACTCAAGTTTTAGAACTAAAGTTGTAAAGCTAAATGTTGTAGCAATTATTTGCCCAACCCAAAAGGTGCGTCTTCCATTGCCACAACGTTAGGTACATGTTGTAATTGTTAACCCCTCAGTTGTACCAACGGGCATTCAACCAGTGTAGACTTGTCGTTTTATCTGTTTAAAGTGAATATCGTCACTAATAATCATGTGTTCCTTTAATTTCCTATTAATTTTTTACTTTACAAAAATTGTTTTAACATTCTCTGCAGATCCAGTGCACAGGGGTGGCACTGTGTACACCGTAGAGCAAGAAAACTGTGAGGATCCAGAGCAAGAATCAGGTCTTCCCCCAATGCAGCAGAGTCTCCTGCTTTACCTCTTCCTGCAGCACAGTGACCCCTTCACCTACCAGCTCTCTGATATGATGGGTGAGAGACGGCTGCACGTATAATCCCAAAACGCTGCATTGAAGTTGGTCTTCCTTACTTCTTTGTCTGTGTCTGTGATCCTCCCACAGCCACAGAGGTGCTGATAGAGCACCACCTGGAGGATATTCTGAACAACAACAGGCAGGCAGTCACAACAGCCCTGCAGACCGAGCTGAGGAACGCACTGAAACCCCAAAATCACAGGAAAAAGGCAAGCCTGACACACACTGTAACTTCCAGAGAGGCAATTATTCCTTTAATAACGTATTTGTTTTTTATTATTATTTAACAATTTTATATAATAGTGTGTATTACCTCAACAATTATCCAGAAAAATGGGTCAAAATCATTTTAATGATCAGTTTATTGTTGGACGATGTCAGACGTGTAGGTTTCAGCTTTTCAAATCTTAGAAGTTACTGCTTTTCTCTTCTTTCATCACTAAAAACAATAATATCTTTGGGTTTGTTGGTCAACATATTTAAATTCAAAGATGTCAGCTTTGGGACATTGTGATGGTTATTTTTTATTTTCTGACATTTTAAAGATCAAACTAAATCAAATTTAAATAAATCAATAAATTAATTTAAATGGTTTATTGATTTGGGCCCTAATATTATATGTTTGGGTTTTAAGGATCAAGAGAAGCTGCGTTCAGCTGCTGAGGTGATTCTCAGTTCAGCCGTCAGTATTGTGAGCTGCAGCAGTAACATGGACTTCAGAAACGCTTGTCTGAACAGAATGAAGGTTTGAAAACAATTATTTTGAATATGCATTTCACATAAATTTATAGTTAATTCTAAAATATAAGTTATTCACTTCCACAACTCATATTTTAGAAAGAAGCCACTGGTATAAATGTAATTAGATGATGTGCTACATTGTTAATACCCTTGTTACTTACAGGGATGTACATGTATGTGTGTTGATAGTGTGACAGAAGTCAGATGTGCATCCATAATGTTTGTGTTTGTCAGGTGCATGACACTCACGAATTGTCAGCCTCCCTCTGTGAATCACTGAGGAGGGTGACATCATGGAAATTCACTCCCAGGAGCGGCTGCTATTCAGCTCAGGTGAGTGAGATGTTTGTTGTTCACTGATGCCAACTAATTACTCCAGCAGCACTTCAGTGGTTTCAGACATGTGATTTTAAATCCACAAGCTAACGCCACATGTTTACTTTCACAGATGGAAGAACATCCTGACAGTGATGAGCCCACCAGAACAGAAATCTGAGAAATCTATTGTTTGTTCTGGCTGAAGGCTGTGGAAGCAGTTTTCACTGAAATTAATATCTTTAGCAATTAAATGTGTGCTAGTAGTGAGTGTCGTAAATGTGGTGGTGAAAAAAAATAGCTATTTAACATCTAATTAGAAAACAAAATGCATTATTATAGTTTGTATCACCAGATGTTCTTTTTAAACACAGTTCCTAAAGAGATTTACATTGAACTGAATTTCTGATCTGAGATAACCCTGAGATGCTTTTTTTTTTAATATGATTTTGTACCCCTAATTAAACATAAAGTACAATAACATAAACATCTGTTTAATACAATGTAGTTCAGTGTATACATTATTGAGACTGTAAGGTTGCGTCATATAATGCTGTAGTTCATGCTATTGTTTGTGTCTGTAAAACAAGTTAAGCTTAGATAACCAGACTGGTTAAACATTGAAATATGTCGACAGGGCTGAAACTAAAACAGACACTCTCGTGCTGACCACTAGACGGCGTTAGAGGCTTTTATTTTTGTGACGATGCTGACTTCCGCTTATTATTGTTTTTGAAAGTGACGTATGTTCCGGCCGCCAACACCGGCAGCAGCTACTTTTCGCGGCAAAATGAAATGAGCGTCTGATGATTTATTCTGCCAACTAACGTGTAACGCTAGGTAGTTAAACAGTATTTATATATATACACAGACGTTGGATCGTCTGACGTGTTATCCTCTCCACAGTTAACTTAAACAATCTGGTAACGATACAGCACTAAACAATGGCGCTAGTAACCGGAGAAAGCCTCAAATCAGAGCTGGAAGTGTTCGACATATGCTGCCAAGATGACTCCGTCCTCGATAAGAGTAAGTATAACATGCTGATTTTGTACATTTCGAGGAAACATTTGGGTCAAAAGTAGCTTTAGCCATTAAGTGCAACTTACCCCAACAACCACTCAAGTAGTCAACAAGGTGTAACGTCACGCGACTGCACTGCTACATTTTGTATAACATCACTATACCGTATGTCTCGTTACATTACGTCAAGTTTGTTATTAGTGTTTGTTACTTAGTTGTGCTCATGCCTTGCTCATTGGGTTTTCTCGGAGCCTAACATTGATGTGGATGGCAGGTGGACAAATCTGCCACCTTTACATCACACTGTTATTTAGTGTATAAACCTACTGAATTTATCTAAGGTGCATCATCTCTGGTGTATAAAAGTAATTCATTAGTAATTTGAATGCTCAAGTCGGAGTGATAATGCTCACTTAGCTCCGCTGTAATAACCCTCCAAAGTTCAGTTGAAATGTTACAGTTGTGGTGCCTCTGTGTACTGTATTTGCAGTCCTCTATGTCTTGTTACGTCTCCCTTTTGTTTACTTTCTCTCCTTTCCTTCGCTCATACGTCCTCAGTGGTGGAGCAGTGTATTTGTAACAGGATACAGGCCCATGAGATGGTGCTGGAGTGGGTGGCCTACAGCACCACAAAAAATGAACTAAAACTCACCACGGACAACCTGGAGCTATTTGATCATGAGGTACCGGTGTTACTGATATCGTTGCTTTGAACTTCTATGTCAACACACTGTCCTCACCGTCAGGCTTTTTTTTTATTTTATTTTTTTATTCACACTGAGTTTTTCTTTGAAGGTGTTAAACAAGAAGAGTAAATCCAACAAAACCTTCAGAAAAGAAGAAACTCATAACAGAACCAGAGACATCCTCTTACTACAGGACTTGTATCCTTCACAGTGAACTCTTCATGACCGTCCAGCAGCTTCTCCTTCTGTGTTTTATCTGTTGTCTATCTTGGGTGTGTGATATTGCGATTGTGTCACAATCCTTGACATTATTTGTTCAGACTCAAAGTTGAGGAAGAGGAGGAGAATCTCCTGGATGCGTACTCTACTCCTGCGAAGGTAAGCTCTCACCTTTGACTTCACACAGTGATTCTGTTGTGATATACATTTTCAAAGCTAAGCGAAGTCGTCGTGACTCACTTGCGTGCTCAACGCCGACTGTGTTCGTGTGTAGGGTTCTCAGAAACGAGCACTGACCACTCCTGAACACCCTCAGTCAAAAAGAAGTGCAGCTCTGCTGTCCAGCCCGAGCCTGCTGCTGTCTCCGGCTAGCTTCTCCCCCAGGTACTCGGCACCATCACAGACCAACAGTCAGTGAACTGATCTTTGCAAGTCTTTAGACCGTTATGGAAATGAAGACAACAATAGGCTGAAGGAAACTTTTAGTTCTTTGGACAGTAGTCCCAGGCACTCAAATTTCGAGAAACTTGATGGAGACGCAGCTAACGTTGTGACCCGACTCTTCCCTTCTCTCTTTGGAAGTTCAACACCCTCCCAGAAGTACAGCCAGAGAGGAGCCAAAGGGGAGGTGGTGGTTTCTTTCGGGGCCGTGCAGGGCACCCGCTGGGCCGGCAGAAAGACTCAGGGCGACGGCGTCCAGCTGGAGCTCCTGGAAGGGCCTGAAGACTCGCTCCGCTGCAGCTACAAGTACATGTTCCAGAGGCTGCGCGATGTTCGAAATGGTGAGAGACAAAAAAATAAACGTAAAGAGCCTGCCAATTCATAAAAGTACTTTGGATCAAGAGTCCTTTATTTTATATCTTGAACAACACTGACCCTGTACACCCTGGTTCACATGATTACACCTTGTTTGAAGTTAAAGATTTGTGCGTCTGTTCTCCACAGTGTTGACGGAGAAGATAGAGGAGCTTGGCGATGGCCTCCGGTCTCACTTCAACATCGAAGAGTTTGCCCCCGTCTCTCTGCCCGCTCAGGTACAACGGTGTTACTGCTGTGAAGAACCTCTAAAATCATAGATGCCTTAAACCTGTGACTTTCAAAAGTATTGGAAACATCATATCTTATAGTAATAATTTGACATTTTACTCACAAAGTTGTATTACTAGCTAGGTAACGTTTTTTTTGAACACTAGAGCCTTCTGACGTGAGAGCTTGTCCGTGCTAAACTTTGTACATTTGAATCCACTGTTGGTCACGATATGTTTATCCCTGCAGGCCTAACTTGCTTATTTTGTCTAGTTATTTCTAGGAAAGCGTGATCGTGTGCTCCATATTTGTTGTTTCAGCTCTCCTAAACTAGATACACTTCATTAAATGTATTCGTATAATTAAGTATTTCCTGACAGCTCGGTTTGTTGTGTTTTACGTCTCTAGGACAGTATCACCGTGTCGGGTCAGGTCTGCTGCGACAGTAACGGCAAACTGAACGCACACTCTGTTCTGTTGGAGGCGGGGCCGGAGCAAGGCGGTCAGCAAGTACCTGTTGACCTATCGGAGCTTAAAGAGTACTCACTGTTTCCTGGTCAGGTGAGCCGAAGGAAACTTCTCGTCTTGGCAGATTAAGCTGAAGATGGGTCTGCTTTAAAAGTCTTTTTAACTGTATTAAGAAGTCACTCGACTAGAGTGCATTGTGATGGCAGTATTGATGAGCACGGTGGTCCCTCCTTTACCTGTGCACTGAGGTGTGTGCAGCAGGTTACACGGCCACCAAGAGTAACAGAGCATGCCAAAGACCTGGGCAGGAGAGTCACCCAGCGTCTGACCGAGAACTCTGACAACCGATCTACAACTCCCACATGAGAATAAAAAACCACCGGCCTGCAGTGTATGAAACTCTGTTCTCTCTCCTCAGGTGGTGGCGTTGGAGGGAATGAACACAACAGGAAGAAAACTGATGGCTTCCAAACTCTATGAGGTCAGCTACAAGTTAACAAGTTGTGTTGGCACATAAAGAGAGATTTACTTGAAATATTGCTTCAAAATCCAAATTATGAGTATCTCAACTTTTAGAACTGTTTGTGTGTCTTCTGTTGATAGTCTTCTCTTTCTTTCTTTTTTAGGGAGTCCCTCTTCCTTTCTACTCTTCTGAGGTGAAAATGGAGATGGATGAAGGTAAGTGATGATAATCACTTTTCTGTAATAATAAAAGTTTATTTGTTAAGCTTTCAACCACAATACAAGGGATGAGCAGTCTGCTTGTGTCCCTTTCATGTACTTTGCATACACACTTGTCATATCATGCGATTGCAGAGCCGATGAATGTTCTGGTGGCGTGTGGACCCTACACTCCCTCTGACAGCCTCACCTTTGACCCTCTGCTGGACCTAATCAATGTCATTGTCAAGGATTGTCCTGACGTCTGCCTGCTGGTATCGTTACTTATTTATTTTGCTGTTTCAAAATCGTTTGTTCTTCCACAAGTGAATGCATGTCTTAGAAGATGCACAGAATGCTCGTATCTTTTCTAATCCTCCCTTCACTTCTCCAGCTGGGCCCGTTTGTGGACTCCAAACATGAACAAATTGAGGTGCGTTTAACAGCGGACACTTCATGTGTTTCTTAGAAAACCCTCCGCTCCAACATCTAATGTTTAGCATTTTAAAACAATCTCATTTAAACGTCCTCATCCGAAGTCAATGCACGGCAAAGTGAATTCCATTTTGTTCAACATATTCATTTCTTGTGTCCAGCTTTTTAAATTAAGTTGGTTGATCCTGACTTGATGTGACCATCTTTATTTCCACCCGTTTGTGAAATAGAAAGCTCAGGTGACCGAGACGTTTGAGGCCATTTTCTCAAGATGTATTGAAAGCATTGTGGATGGCACCAAAAGGTATGTCTCGTATCTCCCTAAGCATGATGACGCTATTTAAACTCCTGAAGCTCCTTAAAGATTTTCATTATGCTATCTTTTTTTTTTAATAATGTGCCCCAATCAGAAACCTTAACCACAATGACAGCTCGTGTGTTCTTTACCCAGTGTTGGCTGCCGCCTGGTGTTTGTGCCCTCCCAAAGAGACATCCACCATCACTTCATCTACCCACAGCCTCCCTTCACCCTGCCGAACCTCGGCAAGGACCAGGCCCAGGTCAGACACACAAAGACCCAACTGCATAAACTAAATTAAAGTTTATAATTTACTGATGAGCACATGCAACAGGCGTGTGAGCAATCCCAGAAAGCCAAATTGTAATAGTTTAGCTTTAAACGTTTGAGTCGGGGAGTGGCCGGTCTTACTTTCAGGCTTGTTATTGACTAGATTCAAGCAGAAGAGCTGAGGAAACTGTTCAGCCTTACCGAGTGTTTCTCTTCATACTCTGCAGCGCGTCACCCTGGTCCCTGACCCCTGCACCCTGCTAATTGATGGAGTCACCTTGGGCTTGACGTCCACTGATATCCTGTTCCACATGGGCGCAGAGGAGATCAGCTGGTGAGGAAGAGTTCTAACTTTCACATGGCTTCACCCAGCACTGGAGCTCAGTTAGAGATGAATTTGAGAGGAAAATGTGTCGATGAACTTCATGTTTAATATTCACATGAACAAACCTCTCAGCCACACTTTTCACTTTGACTTTTCTATGGGAGTTTACTCAAATACCAGCATAATATTAAATATATATTTCAATTAATGGCATCACCACAATGTTGTGTTTCAGCGGCACTGGATCGGACCGATTTTCTCGCATACTGAAACACATGCTGACCCAGAGAAGGTAGAGTCCTAAAAACGTTCACTTGCGCTCTCTGTTCTGAGGAGAATCCTCTAACATTAATGACCCCCCCATGTTTGTGTTTCCCCTTCTAGTTACTACCCGCTGTACCCGCCTGTGGAGGAGGTGAACATGGATTACGAGAAGTTTCAGAGCTTCGGTCAAATGCCGCTGACTCCTGACGTCCTCATCATTCCCTCCGAGCTGCGCTACTTTGTAAAGGTGCAGAACTGCTGTTAAAAGATGTGCTTTTTCTTTTCTGATGATTTGACACATGCTTTCTTTTAACACCTCATCTCAACTTGTCCTCAGGATGTGGTCGGCTGCGTGTGCGTCAATCCCGGACGGCTGACCAAAGGCCAGGTGGGCGGGACCTACGGCAGGTTGCTCATTCAGCGCAGCGCTGCACCCGAAGACGGGAGGAGAGCGAGCCCCTGTTTGGCAGCTCAGGTGGTGAAAATCTGAATCTTCAAGGAGATTAAGACTCTGAATGCTTGTTGACTTTACCAGGAGCAGCTTTGAACGCTGTGCTCTCCAGGCACCCTGATGTAAAATATGTTTAAAGAAACAATTCACTGTTTTGTCCTTTAGTCTATTTTTACTTGACAAACATGTCTGTTTGGTGCTGTCATTACTGGGGTGGAATATCAGTCTCTCAGGCACAACGGCAATAACAATCTTTCAATAAATTATTCTTTGTATTGTTTTTTTATACTATTTTTTTGCAACTATCTAAGTGTTTGTCTCAGCATTGTATCTCTTTCAAAGGCTTTGAGTAGAGGAGAAAAAACCTGCTTAAAAAGCATATTTATGTGAGGCAGTTTAATGTAGTTTAGTTATGGATATGAAGTAATTATACATTTAGATATCAATCTCTTATCAAACATCAGAAAACAAAGCATTACCATTACAGACCTCCTTTTTCACAAGTTGTTTTTAATATACTGTTTCTGATGTAACACTAAATTCTGAGGTAAGTATATTTCCTTTGTTTCTGGATTTTGGCAGTTGAGAAACTCATTTAACCATAAAAGTGGTCAAACTCATCAGAGTCACTTGGGTGATCAGACTTTGTTGATTTATCCGGCTCCACTTGAAAAATCTCCACGGTGTCACAAATTGCTGGAAAAGAAATTACAGATCATCTTTAAAAACGAGTTGTGTTTTTGTGTATATCCCATCTTTTAATTATACACTCTGATACTGTACCTTTGGGTTGCTCGTCTGCTTTCAGGTCCTTTTCTCTGAAAATATGTAAAAGAAATGTGAGACTTACTTCAGGATGTAGTTTTTGCCATCGGAGACAAAAAAAAACAAACTCACTCTTTTTTCTGTGATTGTTTTTGAGGTGCAAGTAGATTCTCAACATCGTCTTCATCACTTATCTCGTTCGAGTCATCGTCAGAGGATCCTGTTTTACTCTCCTCTTCTTCCTCTTCTTCACTTGCCTCCTCTGGAATAATGTGCATCTTTTTAGACCTAAAAAACAGATTTTAAAAGTTCAGGTGCCGTTTGTGTTTAAGATGATTATATTCTTCACTTATCTTACTTGTCCTGTGGTGAGATGATGCTGTCGTCCGAGTCTTTTTCCTCCTCTGGTTCTCCTGCTAAGTCTCCTCTCTGTTCCTCTTCATCTGACTCCTCGTCCTCCATGTTGTCCTCTCCGTCACTCTCATCCTGAGAAGATGCAGAACCCTTTTTTCAGTTCTCGCCATATTCATTCTTTAACCTGACTGACTGTTCTTCACGGACATCCTTTACCTCTGAATCCTGCTCATCTGCTCCTGTCTCCTCGTCTTCCTCCTTGGCACTCTTTCTCTCAGAAGCCTCATGATCCTCCTCCCCATCGCTCTCCTCTTGCTCTTCATCTGTCTGACTGTTCTCTTTTTCTTCAGCGTCACCATCTTCTCCATCTAGATCTTCCTCATTCTTTTCTCCTACATTGCTTCGTTCAGAGCTGCTACTCTCCTGTTTTTCTACTTCATCTCCACCTCCGGTTTCAATCTTTATACTAACACTTCCTGTTTCCTCCTTTTGGGATCCAGACTCCTCTCCACAGCTTTCTGATTTATCGTCAGGATTTTGATTCTCTGCGTTTTCACTTCTGAATTCCTCAATTCGCCCCCCTAACTCCTCACTAGTTGACTGACTCTCCTCTTTGTGACTCACTGGGTCGTCTCCCTTGCTTCCCTTCACCACCTTCTCATCCCTTGGTGATCCAACAGCAAGCCCCCCACTTCTCCTGGTTCTCCTTGTGCTGGTTCTGCCTTTCTCTGAGGCGTCACTCTCTGAGCTTTGGACCACTTTCACTGCAGCAATGACAATGGCACTGGATGACCTGAAATCAGCAGTGAATGAAAAATAAGATTGTACAGAATATGAGGCTAGTGAAGAAGTGGATTTATATGGCAGGCGGAACATTGAAGAGAATATGGCTTACTCCTGAGAGCTGCAGCTTTGGCTGGCTGAGAAGGAACAATGTGATCTCCCTCTCTCCTCCCTCTTCTTTCTCTTCTCTCTGCTCACCTGGCTGGGCTCCCTGCTGCTCTCACTGCTTTCTGCGAGGCCACCGGACAGACGAACTAGGCACAGTACGTACGTACACACACACACACACCCATACAAAAATGACATCGGAGGTGAATGAAAATATCTACTGAGGAAGATAACTTGCATAAGTAAAAGTAGCTTACAGACACTGAAGATTCTCATATTTAATTTCCCACCTGGTTTGATATCCAGCTCCGGGGATAAACGACTGCTCCTGCCTCCACCACCTCTCTCTCTCTTTGAGCTTGATGCCCGGCTTGTGTCAGTCTCCTCCCCCACCACCTGCGCTATCCCCATCTCAGGAGGAGGCTCCTCCGGGTACAGCTGACCCCACAGAGCCTCAGTGCCAGAGAGGATCCCAGCTGCACCAGCAGCCCAGGACCAGGGTTGGTCGGGCTGCATGGCAGCCCAGCCTGGTGGATTTAGCCTGGGTCTGGGTTGTCGATCACCGGGTGAGGAGGTGAGGTGGTGGAGCTGTGGGAAGATGTGTGGTGGGAGGAAAGATAAAGGGACGTGTGAGGAACCCTGAGGTTGGTAAGGCGCTCTGATAGGACACCTGGCCGTCTGGGATTGAAGGCGGGTCTGCCTGGAAGACTGCGGGTAGGGGAGATAAGGGGAGCCATCTTGGTTGTAGGCTAAGTGGCTGTTTGGGCTGTAGTGCCTTGGAGGTGCAACAATATTTTGGTTCATTGTGGTGGAGCCTGCAAGAAAGATGAAGATGCATATTAGATAATAGCTTGTATATGTCTGGAACACACCATTACAATTAAAGAATACATGTGACAACATGATTTTTAGAGTCAGGAGAAACCTTGTGACAGGAAAGGTTGATCTGTAGAAGATGCTGTCTCTCGTTCCTCTGTGTTCTTTAGACATGACCTCAAATACTCCTCCATCCTCTGTTAAAGACACATTGTTTTTCATAGAGCTGCACAGCATGCGATAAAAGGTGAACAGAAATGCCTTTTACATGTATAAGTTATTTTTGGATATATTTTTGAATTTATTTTTTTACATCAGGCAAGATGTGGTAGAAACGATTACAATGATTATGACTTAATAGGCAGAGCGTAAAAAAATGATTTAGGTATAATTGGATGGCTCTTATGATCGAACCAGCTGTGTGCATTGGCCCCTAATGAAGTGACTGATTACTGTGATTTGCTTGTACCTTCCTCTGAGCAGCCTGTGTTTTCTCCTTGAGTTGCTGCTGCCAGCGGGGGCAGCTCTCCTCCAGGTACCGTTTATACTCCATCTGGAGGGATCGAAGTTCAAGAAGAAGGTTCAACACCAAGCGTCACAGAGGCAGGGGTAAAGTATGGGAAGTGAGTGTTTGTGCCTGTGCACCCGAATAGTTTTCATGGCAGCAGTGAGGGTTAACATCTCCTTCAGTGTGTCCTGGGCTTCCTCAAACTGCTGCAGCATCTGCCTGTTGTTTTGTTGGGCTGTAAGCTCTCTCTCCTTCAGCTCCTGCCAGCGCTGTTGCAGAAGCATCGCCCTGCTGCAGGAAACGCACAAACACCGAGTCAGTTATTCAAAATATTTACACCAACATACAGGATGATGCATCTTGCAAGCATTTTGCTGCCTTTTGTATTTGCACTACAGCTTTTGATGACTGAGTTGAAAAGTCAGGTTGCAACAACAGAGGCCTGTTGATACTGAGATGAAGAGACAGTGTATCATTGTAACCCATCCCACTTCTCTGCCCTCACACACAACTATGAGTTGACAGTACTAATATACTTCATTAAAGCACTCAAGGATCTTACCTCATTTTTAGCCTGTGCTCTCTTTGTTTTGTGAAAGTGTTTCTTTCTGGGTCGGTGAGATGCTCAAGAGACAGTAAATTCTCCTTCGGTGCAGCCATGACTGCAGGCGTTCAGTGGATGCAGAGATTATCGGGGATTAAGGTCTGTGCTTTGGGCGGGGGGGAGGGACCAGAAACATGCTCTCAATCCACACATGGTCATGGGAATAACTTAATCAGTAGTGAGAGCTTTTTTCAGTGCCACACAGGTAACAAAGTTATTGAAACATCCACTTAAATATAGGGCTGGACGATAATTTAATATGATAAAGTATTTCAATGGAATCATATCGTTATGAAAATATACATTGAGATATCGTGAACAAGCACAGAGTAAGTCATATTTCTCCGAAAATCAGATTTTTTTGCACTAAAGTTATTAATTAAATGAGAAAATACACATTATATTGTGTAAATATTTTATTTGCTCAAGAGTGTACAAAACCATGTGGCTATTTCATACTTACCCTGGTGAAGCCTCTTTCTCTTATCAAGGCAATGAAACAGCAACAGGCTATTTCAGGCACAAATATCTATTTAAAAAAATATTGATACTAATATCCAATTCAAAACCACAATAAAATCTACGTAACTTTTTGATTAGTATTTTAAAACGGGCATACACACCGTGGAGACGTTTTACAAGCGGAACCAGTATGTTGTTTCATTGCGGATGTATTTTCACGTAACACCCCTACTAGAGTACAAGCTCGATTCCGTCCAGTAGCAGAGATCGTGGTAGGGAGAGAGTTTTGAGAGCCTATCAGCGTAACATTTCAACTCATGAATGACATTCATTTGTTCAGAAGTTATATAAATTATCATTGGTATCGTGTGGTTTATTTAACTTCTTAAAAGAAAGCTAACGGAGCGGTTATTTTGTTCGGCTGACTAAGCTAACCGACGATTATCACAGTGCGTCTGTCAAATCGGTACTTCCGCTGAGCTCGCGGACGAGCAGGAAAACATGACGAGTTTTGCCAGTCAAGTTTTTGCCAGGGTCGACAGGTTTTGTCGCCCCCTCCCCATGGTCCTCAACACCTTCTTGGTCTTCTCCATCACCGGGGAGGTGAGCTACTTGGTGCTGCTCGAGGCTCCGCTGGACGCGGACCAGAAGAAGACCGTGTGGTCCGCCTGGTGGAAAGCGGCGCACCTGCTGGCTCAGTACTTCATGCTGGGGAACATCTGCTGGAACGCGCTGCTCTTCCACAGGACCAGCCCCAGCATCAAAGGGGTGTTCTTGGGTGGAGAGGGCATGGGCCAGGGGTGGAGGTAAGGAGGGAGCAGCTGGAGGGATTATTACAGATAACATGACATGTAAATGATAGGTTAGACAATAGTGTTTGAGAATATGTAATCCCAGCAGTCAGACATCCACATAAGTGTAAACACGGTAAAAAGAACCTCAGTCCTCTGCTTTTTCACAGGTATAAAGATAGATTTGTTCTAAGTTTTCACTTCATGTGTATTATTTCCATTAGCTTCAACTGATGGTCACAGTTTTTATGTTTCAGTTTAGACATTTAGGAGCATCTCAGACCATAAATAATAGTGTTTTTCTCTGTTCTTTTTCCTTCCCAGGTACTGTTATACCTGTGAGACACACACTCCTCCTCGATGCTCCCACTGCTACGACTGCAACGTGTGCGTGCTGCGGAGGGATCACCACTGCGTCTTCTTTGGCCAGTGTGTGGGCTTCCGTAACTACCGGTACTTCCTGAGCTGCTTGTTATTCATGTGGTCGGGGCTGCTGTACGCCACTCTGATGAATGCAGAGGTCTTCCTTGTCATATTGAAGGAGGGCTTGACGGTGCACAGCATCCTGCTGCTGCTCATTCCCTGGCTCATGCTAGTTTCAGGTATGAGCTGGTTTGTAACATATTGGTTGCTCTATTTCCTGTCTATTCCTTGTAGCTGTGGTACTTACCACAGATAGGTAGAATATACTCTATAAAGATTTCTATGTTGACTCAAACATGCCCGTCACATTTTTCCAGAGACAAGAATGACTTCTTAAGATGTCTAGTTTAAAATAACGACGCTTGTATTTATATCACTGGCTGTGACTTAATCATCGCTGCTGTCCCATCTCTCCCCAGGCCAGGTCTCGGCACGTGCTTTTGCCTTCGCCTTCATCGCCGATACATGCGTCGTGGGCTTCCTGCTGGTGTCCGCCTTCTTCTTCTTCCATCTCGTCCTGATGCTTCGGGGACAGACCACCAAGGAGTGGTACTCGACCCGCCAACCCTACAGCCTGGGGCTGCGGGGCAACCTGCGTCACGCTCTGGGCCTTCGCTGGTACCTCTGCTGGCTCTGCCCACTCATCCCATCACCTCTCCCTGGAGATGGGATGAACTTCCAGGTTACGGGATCGCTGGAATCCACCCAGTAACGGCTGAAACAGGCCGTGTGTCTTTGCTTTAATGGGGATGGTTAATGTTATCGGGAGCAGCAGGGAACATCACCTCAGTTCAAGAAGAGGTAACTTGGGATGGGAAGAAGGCGTTGTGTGGGTGTTATGATGTTAATGGGTATAACGGTCTACCGGTATCTTCTCCGTAGCCTTTACCTGTGCTGAGTTAAGGAAGTTATGGGTCTACCGTGGAAGGTACGTTGACCTTACTTTAAAGGTAATCTGTTCACTCATTGAGGCTTGCCTCAGAATATTAACACAGACGTTAGCAGTGTTCCTCTGGAATACTGAGCACTGAAAGTGTATGTAAACGACACTGAAATGAGAATGTATTTTATTGATTGGGAAAAATGTTATACTTATAAATCCTTGTTAACAAGCACTCACAACTCCCTTACTACTACCCTCAAGTAGTCACTTAAATTGTTCTTTCTATTGTTGTTTATTTTGCCTAAATCTAAAGGTCATACAAATTTGGCTTGCACTGCCCCTGAATACTCCGTAGGATTATAAAATCTGCTGTTGTGCGTGAGCAGCTAGGATCATCACTCCTGAGCTCCATCTTATTTGATTACACCGAGCCTTTTACTGGATACTGTTGCACTAAGTTAGACAATGAGAGTCTAGTATTGCCGTTTACATAGTAATCTAGCAAATGCACTGTGTAAAATGTACCTATTGACGGCACACGTGAACAGCTTTTCCCCGTGTTTCACATTACGTTGTCCATGTTTCAGTCAGTAAGGTACTACTACAAACCAAACCTACAGTGTAACAACATGAAGAGTCATGTTCTGATTCAAGCAACTGCTGTGTCTCAGTATACACTGTTTATAATCTTTATATCACCCTGTTCTTGCAGTAAGTATACAGAAAATCAACATGCATCACTGTTTTGTACAATATGTTTGATACAATACGATGCTACAAAACACATATCTCACATTACTCGATGCCAACGGGAGTATTGTTACCTCAGAAGTTAACTTATTTCTGCTGGCCTTAAAATGTAGTGTCAAATTCCAAGCCTTTTTTTTGACAGGGGCTCTGATTTTGCATCCAAAAATATTTTTGTATTATTGTTGATTATCTGTTTGAAGTCTGCCTTCTTGTGCTATTTCATATGGGTCACACCATGATGTTTGGTTTTTGCCATTTGAGTGCTGAAAAAAAAAAGTTTCAATAAAAAAATGCTGAAATGTATTTGATCTTTTGTAGTTTTTAGTGAAATTTTGGTTTAAAAGTCTTAATTTTATCTAATACAGAGAAACAATTCTAAAAAGTACTGAGACCATTTTTTATTAATTATCGTGGAGAATGTCCAACACGCGGTTAAAATATCTTATAAATGTGATTTAGAATTTGAAAGAGCCAGGAAAACTTTTTGGTCCCTTCCTCGCGATCCTGTACCGTACCGGTCCCTTGTCTGACGTCATAGTGACAACGCGGTAACGGTAACTGTCGGTTTATTTTGACGGCTTACTGGGCTCGGTATGGCAGCCAGAACTACAATTTAGTTAAACTAGCTGCTGACAACCTCCTGGGTTTGTATTTACTCGCTGGTTCGACATTTAAGGAATGCTAGGTTAGCTAGCTGAGAAACCTAGCTAGCTTATGCTAGCGTGTAACTAGCATAAAAAACGTAAATTAATGGAGACTCAACAGTACATTTAGGCGAATTGTTAGCATTTTAACTAGCTAATTAATGATAAGGCTAGCTGCCTCAGTTTTTAAAATGTGTATGTAACCTAAGTTAGATAACATTAGATAAGGAAAGTTAACGTTTCCTACTTTTAAAATTCATTTTTTTTAAATATCAAATTGTGCTCATGGGTTAAACATTATTTGATTGACTCTTAAAGATGTAACTAACCCCACTTATACACTGAGATAAAATAATTGCAATCCCAGAATCTGTTGTTCTTTTTTAAATATCAGGTGAAATCCACTTTGAAAGGTTAGAAAATTGCTTAAATATGTTTGCCCCTCTCATTGCATGCAGTGCTGCTTTTTATAAAGTGTTTTAAGAATTGTTAGATAAGTTTTAGCTGGAGCTAACCTTTTGGTAATTTATGTGCACTAGGGAGGAGTAAGCCAGCAGGATGGATGTCACAGAGGAAACTATGTGAGTGATGTTCACCGAATAAACACACACACTAAAAATGTTTGGTTGAGTTACTCAGCACCAATATATGACGCTTCTTCTTCTGGTTTGTATGTGTGTGTGTGTGTGTGTGTGTGTGTGAGTGTGTTTGCAGGACACTGAGGGAGCTGCTCGAGAAGGTAGCAGAGCGGGATTACAGTCTGAACCAGCAGAGAGACTTGACTGCTAAAATGAGGCACTGGCTGGATGTTGCGGATGATGACATGGCAATGCTGCGTTCAGAAAACACCACTCTCCGACAACAAGTTAAAGCGTAAGAAGTCACATGATTGTCTCAAGCCGTCAAACTTAATCTGTCTGTTTTGTCTTCATCTGTGAGATCTCCCTTTGAGCTTTTATGTTTTGTTATTCAATGTTGTTATGTGTCAGCCACGTTATCTTTGTTCCTTACTACTTTTTGAACTTTAACATGCGTGTGTGTTTGCGTATCTGCAGCCAGGAGAAAATCATCAGTGAAGCGCTGAAGGTTGAAGCAGAGCCTTGCAACGGTCTCCTGGCTGATGACCTCGCTGTGAAGAGATGCAGTGACAAAAAGATTCAGGAATTAGTGCGTTACCAGAAATTAAAGTGTTACAATTTGTATTACTGGTGTACGTATACGTGTTGGATAAAAATATAACGCTGCCTTCGAGACCACACTTGAGCTAAAACCTTGATGACATCTCGTTATACGAGCTCAGATCTACGAGTAAATTGTAACAAACATTTAATGATGTTTGATATTTCAGAAACCACTATATTCTCGTTCTTAACATCCTCATAATTTGTGCTAAATGTTAAATTGTGTCTTTTATTGTAGTCTAATCTAGGCCGGATGTACACAGGCCACAATGGCATCTCACTTGTAAACCTATGCAATAACACTGAAGTATACGTCAAGGATTTTACTTTTTCGGTAACGTCTGCCAAGAAATAACAGAATTCATCTTCAAACTTTAGTTTCAGATTTTGTATTTCATTCTCTATGATTTCATTACATTAAGTTTGTTGATTTATAAACATAAAATAGCTTAATACAAGCTCGGGTTGTACAGCACACATACAACAGGATAATTGCACATTCATTTTGATCCAAACATCGGAGCATTCACAGTCAGTTATGGGAGTTATAGTTATGGTTGACAAACGGTTAAACCTCAAATAGGCAGATAGTTGTCATTTTGCATATCAGGTAAACCTTCATGTTCTTCTTTTTGTGCAGGCAGATGAAATCACCACGATGAAGAAACAGAATAAGAAGCTAACTGAAGAGGCACGATGTCTGTTACTTGTCACAACTCTAATCTGTCATACTACAGTTGGAAGTAGTACCAAAATATACATATAAATATAATTCTGCCTTTTTTTCTCAGCTTAAGAGCCTCGAGCAAGAGAGAGACCAGGACAAGATCAGCTTTAGCAACCTTAAGGCTTCACTTCAAACCCTTGAGGTGACACCATGGATTCAAAATGGCAGATATTTAACTACTTTTTCTCTCTCCATTGATCCTACCATGAGTCGCGTTACATCGTCAAACAGCTCCTGATTTGTTATGTCGTGTGTTTCTTCAGTGTGGAATGGAAGAGGCTCAGTTAGGGCTTCAGAATAGGGACGAGGTTATTTGTCAGGTAGGTACAACGCAGCAACCGAAATATTGATCTTTCTCCTTGGAGTTCAAACATGAATATTTTGACTGTTCTTTTTCTTTTAATATTATTTTGTTGTTGTGTGTTTGTGATAGAACAACTCACAGTTAAAGCTTTTGGAGGAAACGGTCGAAGAGTACTCCACTTCCATAGAGGTAAAGATGACCTCATTCATAGTAGAAAGAACAGTATTCACTCAGCTGTCGGATAATATCTTCATGTTATGAGCTGTTGAACGTGTGTTTTGTTGTCTCTCTGCTCCAGTACCTCAGGCTGACAATCCAGGAGTTGAGAGAGCAGTTGGAGGACAGACTGGACGAGGCCTCCTTGTAACCCTGACGCACAAATATTCTCCTGCTGTGAAATGATATGGTGACCTCCACTGAGTCACCTGTATGCACTCACACTGCGCCGTGTTTCTGCTGTTGGTTTCCAGCACTGTTGTGAACGAGCGGATGGGAGAGAATGAAGGATCGCTCAGTCCTCCTTTGTCCTTTGCGGAGGAAATTGAGCTGTTGGCCTCTTCAGCTGGAGTGGAGACCAGCGTGTCAGACTCCCCAGATCTTAGACATGTAGGACCCCTCCCTTCTGTGTTTACACGTTTGAACTTGAGAGGATGTAAAATCACTCAGTTGCCAGTTTATTAGTAAAGATGTATCTGATTGTCCTGTACTTCTACAAGTGACCACTAGAGTGTGCCACTACGATTCAAACCCTTTCTGTCAGACAGCAGCTGACTGTACAGTAGAGTAGGGATGATGAGATCAGTGATGTCTGTTACTGTGTCTGCAGGAGGAAGCTGAGGCTGAGGAGCTGCTGAAACCTCCAAGTCTCACACTAGACCTTCAGACCAAAAGGTACTTCAGTTTCACATCAAAAATACAGATTTCGTTTTCTTTATGTTTCCTCATTCATTGTCGTCCCTCTGTTTTCTCTGTTGTCTAAGGTGTGCAGGTGTTTTGGAGACAGCCGTCCAGAGAGCAGGACTTCTTCTGGTGTTTGTCGTCGTTCTCACTGTTTTGGCCTTTGTGGCTTCAGCAAGCTTGACAGGAAATTGTTTTTCCATCAACACCTTGTGGAGCCATGCACGCCTGATGATAGAACCCTACTGCCGTGTGCATTATGTGGCCTTACCTCCTTTTTGATTCAAACACTCTTTTAAACATGTTGAATCCTTTTATCTGACTGATAGTCTGGGTTTTTCAATATGGTTTCTACTCAGCAGACCATAGCGCGCTGAAATTTGCAGTTTAATATAAATCATTCTGCACATTTACTACGCGTTTGGGTAGCTGATTGGTCAGTTCTATAATAATAAATGAGTTTGATAAAATACAATTAATAACTTATAATAATAAAAATGTCTGCAGTGGAACATACTAAATATTGTATCAGTAAATGTCTCGATTTAAAAGGACTTAGATGTGTGTGAATTGGAAGAACAGATATATATCAACATAACTTACTGTATACATTTTATTTAAAAAAAAATTGATTTGATTTTAGTTTAGAGGAGGAGATGCATGATTTTATTTTTTTACATTGAAGAAAATCCTGCTCAACCCAATTTTTATACAACATTTGTATAATTTAAGAAACTATTCTTCCTGGCTACCACACGTCTGACTTAAATTACACCAAAGTCAATCAATGAAAATAATATATATACTGTATATATGTATACGTTTTCAACTCTATTAAAAACATACTCGGACAGTTTTCTCCTATTTTGGCACAACGAGGGAAATTGTACTAAGTTTAGAAAAAGTCCACTTCATTTTTTGCTGCACTTTTGTAGTACTTTCTTTTTTATTTACACAGAAAGATCACTTTGGCTTCTACTTGCATACAAATAGCTTTAGACGGGGATGTCTTTGTGGCAAGTATGGAGAAATTACAGCAGCCAATAAATCATTCAGTGTGCATATGAAGCCATGTGAGTATTGTATGAAGATCCACTTGAATAACGTGTAGCTAACGCGAAGAGGTGACTTCTTAGTTATTTGGTGAGAACAGCCTCCCTGCCCAATTTAGAGGAATAGCTTAAGAGTAACAGTCTGCCAATAAGACCATTACTGATGACTTTTTTTAACGCATCAGCAGATCCGGCCATCAATTAGTATCAGGTGAGTCTCGCAGTTTCACTACAAATGTTAACAATTACTTTTCACATTTTGAATTACATGCACCAGTGAAAGTGCATATTTGCGCCCAATGCCTTCTCGGCTGTCCAGTCGCCCCTCCCAGTTGAAGGCGCTCCCTGGTGGTCTTGTCTGTGACTTGAAAACACCCCCTCCCATACGGAGAACCACTAAGTGGGGCTTCATATGTAGGGCAGAAGGAGAAGGAGATGACGGTCTGAATCGAGAGATGTTTTTTATTTCGGAGCTGGCTGATGATTTCATTGTCTGTCTGCTGGAGTTTGAGCTCGTGCGTGCGGATGCTGCGTCGGTGCTGAGATGCTGATGACAGGCCGAACCCGCCAGACATACCCCTGTATCGTGGATGGAGCCCAAAGCTAAAATAGCCGAAAGAAGATAAATCGTAAAAACAAGGAGAGGCCAGTTTGATCCAGTCTGTTTTGAGGAGGACCGTGTAGCGGCGGAGGCGACATGTTCTGAGCGGAGAGCCGGCGAGCGAGGGCGTCTGGCGGGATGAAGGCACCGAGGAGACCGAGACAGACGCGTCTCCTCCCGCGGCTCTGCGTCTGTGGAGTCACTCTGCTCGCAGTCGCCTGGGTCTTCAACTTCAACGATGTTACAGGTGCTTCACAAGGAATATACACAGATTCGTTACTTGTGTTGTCTTTAACATGCAAATAACATGATTTAAATGTTAGATTGCAGTAATATTAGCTTTTTACAACCATAGAATGTTTTAGCAGCACAGTAGACACAAATAAAAACGTTAAAGTTGGGCAAACTTACTGTATTTCTCAAACACTCAGATATACAGTATAGTGACTTATATATTTAGTTATGTATTTATATGTCAATCCCTATTTTTTAGGTTCCCACGCATCCACTGTGAATTATGACATCTTGTCCAAGAGAGAGCTCATCCAGCAAGAAGAAGACAACAACAAGACTGACAGTATTTCTAGATCTGGTGAGACATTTAACCATGGGTGTGTGTGTGTGTATAAATACCGTATGTGTGTGTGTATGAGATAAGGTGATTTCTTCTTTTTTATCCTTACAAAAATAGACCTACAGTCACTTGTGAGTGTGTTGAATTGGACTGGGGACCTTCAGGCCTAGATTTAAGTTTGGGTTTGGATATTCATGTCGTAAATACTGTGATGATTTTAGTAACACAAGTGTGTGTGTGTGAGAGCGTTGTGTTTAATCCAAGTCTATCTCCTCCGTGCATCAATCTATACCTCTCCGCTCCACCTCATCCATCAACTCTGCACATCTTGATGTTTAAACACAGTTAGGCCTTTGAGGGGACCCGGTTGCTAGGAAACTGAATGCTGAGTTTGTGGTTGGATGGTCGTGGTGCATCTGGAGCTGTTCAAAGTGCCTCTGCCCGGTTCTAATGACCTGCTGTAGCCTCTCATCAGTAGTTCCCGCATCGCTTGTGTGGTGCTTGGATCCATTTGGCTGGTTTGAAATACTGAGAGAGAAACAGTGACATCATCTTACGATCTGAGCGATGAAGAGATTTAGTTGCCAATTACAGATAATAAAGCTGCATGTGTTGAGCTAAAGAAAACTCCCTGTGGGGGAAACAGTACAGATTAAACTTCAAGGCCTCAAATACATTGTCTTCATATTACCATATTACTATTTTCAAGAGCACCATCTTGTTCTTGGTGATACAAATATGAAAACTAAATCATAGTATCATTCAATATCTGTGTCTCCATCACCAACCATGATGCTTGTTTGCCTCTAACTGCACAATGTTGCCTCTGTGCAAGATCTCATCCACTTTAGTCACACTTGTTTAACTCACATGTTTGTTGCGGCGGTTTTATAAATCCTGACTCACAAGTAAATCTGAAAGTCACTTGGGAGGCAACTTTCCATGTTATTGTTGCTTTGAGCTGCCTCATAACAAAAGCTTTTTTTTTTTAATGGCGCAGTGAGTCGTTGCATTTGTTTGAGCTTCTTTGAAAGACGGTGCAGTCTAGCATAACACCTCTTCTCAGTTGGAAAGAGGGTGGTTGCAATGCACTGTCTAACTCACCCAAATTAGATGCCTTATAAGAAATATAGCGTATGCATCCGCAACGAGGCAGGATCAATACTACATCTGGTATTCCATTGGTTGGGGGCATTTTGACAGGGTTATTGCCCCCCAAAGGAAATCCAAGAGCAGAGGAGAAATCTGAGAAATTATGTTTTACGAGCACACAAGCAGAAGAAGTGTGAGGAGAAGGGCTGAAGCACATGAAATCTGTGCAGGCAATAATATATTGCCGGCGTACAATAATATGCAAGTGTACAGTTTGAGCAGAATTCAAATTGCAAGCAGGGGCTATCTGAGAGTGAGGACCGGGTGTTAAAGGAAAGCATTACAAAATCTGAAGTGAAATCAATGAGTCATGCTCTCGAATTGAAAGACCACTCTCTTGATTAAAGACCAAGAAAAAAGCTCTATAAACAACACATTTGAAGGTATATTCAACATTTTCCTATCACACAATATATATAGGCTGATACAAAAATAATCCCATTTTTGCGTCAGCAAAGAGCCTTTGGGCCCCACATGGGAGTGTAACCCCCAGACAATAACAGTGTTCACGGTGTTCAGCCCATTCTCGTTCCCTCCCAGGTCGTCAAAGTGGTGGTATTTGACAAACAACGGGTTGTTAAATCGCTGTGTGTTGCAACAAATCTTCTGATTTGAGAGGCTGGAAAATGTTTGCTTTGACTGATTCTTCTGGGATCAACCAATCGCTCAATCCACTTATCGTTTCAGCTGCAGTTCAGGGATTTCCCTCCTTTTATACATCATTAGTGTCTGTGCGTCTCTTCTGCAGCTATCAGTGATTTTCCTGAAGACATCTTCACTCCAGAGCAGAGGAGACAGGGAGCGGTACTCCTTCATGTTCTCTGTGTGAGTATCGACTCTGCCTGAAAGCCAGAATTTGAAATGACGGAAGCTTCATTTTTTGTTGGATTAAACTCACAAACAGATATATAAGTTTATATAAGCCATGTGGTCAATAACGTGTCTCCTGTATTTCACAGGCTATCTACATGTTTCATGCGCTGGCCATTGTGTGTGAATTTTACTTTGTGCCATCACTGGAAAAAGTATCAGAGGTATGAACTAAAGACACATCTAATACATAAATAAATAAAAGCATGTGGGACTTATACTATAGTTTGTCTGATGTTGTCTCCGTGTTTTTTTTAGATAAACAGGGATTTTTAATGAAGCACCTGTTTATTTTTTTCCCCTCTTAATGTTTCAAGGATGAAGAGTTATTTTCTTACAGTCTTTATATCCCACGAAACAAAGTAAACCAACAATGCATTAGTCCAGATATATATCAGTATGTTCTGTCTTCCCCATCTGTCACCCAGTCCCAAGCACATTTGTTTGAACTGAAGACGTAAATCTTTAATAACAGATTACATACTCAGTTTATTTTTTTATCAAAAAAAATCACCTAAACAGTTATGCAGTCTAGTGTTGATTAAAAATGAATCAAACATGAGTAAATAGTGCATTTGTTGGGGACTATTTTCAAATGCGGATTAATATTGTTTTGGGTGATGTGGGACTGACAAATTAAATTCCAGAGCCATGTTCGTCTCTAGTGCAACAGTGTGGCTCATTTATGTGCTTTTAATCGTTTTTGGAGACTGTATCAGGCTTTGGATACACATAGTAGGATCAAAGCATTGATTTAGGGTTTGTTGACAGTAAGAAACATGTAGAATATCACCAGTTTCATCCTTTTAATCTGTCGAAACTCGTCTTCCTCCAGAACCTTCACCTCAGTCAGGATGTTGCCGGGGCAACCTTCATGGCAGCTGGGAGCTCCGCCCCCGAGCTCTTCACCTCTCTGATTGGTCAGTATGGACGCTCGTCTCATCGATTACTCACTCTAATGGGTCAGCCCAATGAGTGCTACATCAGTTCTCCAATTAAGTGCAATCACATCTTCACCTGGTTCAGACTGAGAGGAGTCGAGGGAACGGAGGCAGACGCGCTGATTTAAAGCGTTAAGTAGACGTGAACAAAGATGGCGAGCAGAGCACGTTTCATTTTGCTTGATGGATTACTTCAGTGGCCAAGGCGTTCTCACAAGTATTTTCTTCCAAATCAGTATTGATATATGTGGACTTAAATGTGAAAAAATACACTTTTGGTAGAAAAATCACAGAAATTTAGATTTTTCTTTCGTTAATCCAGGCATTGATGAAATCAAAGGTTTCCAGAGTGTTTGTAAGCTTTGGCCCAGATACAAAACAGACAGAAACCATCGCATCGACACTGGAACACTATGGGGGATATATCCTGAATACTACTTTCAATAGAAGACACAGATACATTTTATTAAAACAGATATATTGTTGTAATTTGTAAGAATGAAACCTTTGCTTCTGAATCCATGTGGCTTAAGGACACTTTGTCATATATTGCCTCTTACGTAATCTATTTTATTCTCAAAAGAAGAAAGGCTGGCTTTCATAAGTATTGGAATGGCTTTAGGCAATATTGCAGTGAATATTCCACATGAGTAGCATAAGATAAAAGATATCCGCACAGCGTCTGGTTATGAACCCAAGATGCAATATTTCTGTTCAAGGGTGAGAGACATTATGTCTAACTTTAACACATTTATGTATGCTTGGGAAATACAATACAGCATTTATTCATTTCAGACAACCACATTAAATACATTTTTTCTGATGATTCATGGCTTTTTTCCTGTTCTGTGTTCTTAGGGGTGTTTATTACAAAAGGAGACGTGGGTGTGGGAACTATCGTGGGATCAGCTGTCTTTAACATCCTGGTCATCATCGGCCTCTGTGGCATCTTCTCTGGACAGGTACAGCGAAAGCGAAAAGGAGGAATAATATCACTTTTTCAGACCTAAAAGCCAATGGATGTTTTTCAAGCTTTTTTTTTAAATATGATGACATCATCTCATCTCAATATGCTTGATTTCACGAATGAAAATGTACATTGTGTGTCTCTTTCCAGCCCATCTCTCTGAGCTGGTGGCCTTTGTTCCGTGATGCTGTCTTCTACATCCTGTCCATCGTGGTGCTTATCATGGTGAGAAATCCTCCAGTGTCCACAGACATCACCTACTTTAATTCCTACATTTACCACAAACGGTTTGTACGGATACTAGTGGAGAGAAACTACTCGCTCCATACAAAATTACAGCTTGATGGAACTGGACATTTGAGGCCAATATTCATTCATTATCCTATCAGTTGTAATATGCTTTTTTTACATAAACACATAATCAAAACATTTTTTCATGAGGATCCTTTTAATTTGTTTAGTTTTAGAATTGTAACCAAGATGCGATGAGCTAATGCTAGTAACTTTATTAGCCGATATTTAGCTAATCAATCTTCTATTTTCCTTTGATGAGGTATGGAAAAAGTATATATATATTTTTTTAGATGTAATTAAAGTATATTTTAATTGTTTTTGCAGGTTATCTATGATGACAAAGTCCTGTGGTAAGCCTCTGTTGATTGGATATAATCGATTGTCAGTGTGACGAATGTATTCGAATTTATAAATATCTGTTGGTGTGTGTGTGTGCATGTTTCAGGTGGGAGACCATCATCCTGATGTCCATGTACGGACTATACATAATCATCATGAAGTGAGTCTCTTTTTATTCCTCTCACATTTACATCCTGCTGTAATCAAGCCACCACACGCTCTATACCTCCTGAAGACACGACATCTGTGTGTGTGTGTGTGTGTGTGTGTGTGTGTGTGTGTGTGTGTGTGTGTGTGTGTGTGTGTGTGTGTGTGTGTAGGTTCAACAGATCTCTGTGCAGCCTGGTAGAGAGACACTGCACCAGGGCAGGTCAACCATGTCTGAGTAGCCTACGACGGACCACTGCAGTCGGAAATATTGGAGACTGTGACAACGACATGGTACCGCTGAAGCCAGGTGCTGGACCTTGTGTATGCACGTGTGAATGTGAACGTTCAAAACATGACAAAATGGCCCCTCAGTCTCTAAGCAGCATTCAGCAGACCCAGTGACACATTTAAGGCTGACAGTCAAACCCATTTTTGTTGCCCTGTGGATTTCCAACAGGCTGAAATAGAACGAGACCACATTGATGGACAAGATTTTTCTCCACTCTGTACTCTTTGTGTTCTTGTTTGTCTGCTGTCTTATTAAACTATCCTCTCTTTTCCACTGATATCTCCTGCTAACTTCCATCCGCCCCCAGAATCATGTGTGGTGGCCGGCCAGGACTCAGGGGTGGTGATGGTGGATGAGATGCTGAACCTGCATCCCCACCAGCTCTCCTTCTCAGAGGCAAGCCTCCGCCTTCTCATCACCCCGTATTTCCCCCCCTTCACCCGCCTGCGCATGGCAGCACGCATGGTCATCAACGAGGTACACTGTACTTGCTTGCACCCTTCACATAACGTCAAGTTCCGCCGTGTTTTCGGCTAGGTTGGTGGGTATTTAAATGTGCATGAGCAACATTTTAAAAAGTAATATATCACTGTCAAATAAGCAGGGTCATATTGGCCAAATTACAGTATATTTAATGAAGGAACACTGCACTCACGCTTGTGTACCTGAACTGCTCCAGTGGTTGTAAAGGCCTCTCTTAGTCGCTACTAACTACTTAATAGTGTCTTTACTAAATTGTGTTGCACCATTAAATCTTATATGAGTTGTAAAATAACGGCCCAAATTTAGTTTTCGGGGCCTTTGCTATGTTTAATTTCAATGTATATATATTGAGAAATGTGTGTTTCAGAGTTAGTAGTATCCATACAGGTTACAATGCGTGGGAAATGCTGAACTAGCAGACAGCAACGCGTGGCATTATATGGACTTATTGAAAGAAACAGCCGATCTCAGTGACTTTTCAATCCTCCCACAATCTGCCATTATGAGAACTCTTTCAGCTTATCTCCACTTGTACTGAAAGAAAAGTCTGTGTGCGTTTAGAGGCTACCATTTCAGCTTGGTGGTGGTGTTTATGGTAATTATGTTTTTAATTGCTATATGGATACTAATCACAGCGCAGCTTGTGCACAGGAGTTTTGCAGTTAGACAGAAAGATGAGATTCATTTTTTTTATGTCATATTATCAAACAACATCCTATTTGCTGCCACAAAACAAACAAACACACAGACTGCTCCCTAATGCATAATATTAACCCACAAAAGCAGACAAGAACTCAATCTTCAAAATTGGCTTCCTCGCTCTCTAGGCTCTCCTGCATGTGTGCTTGCCATTTCCAGTACCAAATTAAAGTGTGACTTCCCCTGCTGCCCCTGCTCTGTGCCATGCCCCAGATCGCTGCTTACCAAATCCGCTCTGGTGAATGTGAGGACATGCCTGGCTGTGCTACAGTCAGATTAATTTCTTTCTCATTTAATTTTGATTTCTTCTCTTTTAATTTCCTTCTTTCTTTTCTCTGACTTAACCCTCACTCCCTCCCCACCCAACAGAGGCAGAGGCTGATTCGGTCCCAGGGGGGGCCGGAGGAGGGGGAAGCTTCGGGGGAGGAAGGTTTCGGTGCTAACGGGCCGTGGGGGAGGGAGAACGGGACGGCGTCGGAGGGAGACAGGCAGCCGCTTGAGGAAGATAAGGAGGAGGGTAAAGAGACCGGGGGGGAGACGGGCGGTGGAGTGCAGCCTAAAGAGGAAGAGGAGGAAGAGGAAGAGCAGGAGGAAGGAGAGGAGGAGAACACTCCTTTCGAACCCTTCGTCCTGCCAGGTGAGTGGTGAATGAAATCAGACACTCACACATTAAAAAGCTCATTAAAAAGGGATGATACTAAGATTATCAAGCCATGCCACATGAATAAGTTTGGATGAATCTGTAGTGATCCCTGTGGAGAAACTTGTGTGCACATGTGTGTGTGTGTGGGTGTGTTTTCATAATTCCTTCAGATGGTTGGTGTGTGCGTCTGAAGTGGCTGCTCTCTTGGCCCTTGAGCGTCCTGCTTCACTTCACCATCCCCAACTGTAACCTGCCGCAATGGGAGCGCTGGTACCTGCTCACCTTCCTGTCCTCCACGCTCTGGATAGCCATCTACTCTTACCTCATGGTCTGGATGGTAAGAAACACAGCAATGCATCAGCATGCTTGCATGCACACACACACACACACGCATAAATATACACAGCCTCTTCCCTCTGTGTCTCTGTCTAGGTGACCATAATCAGCTACACACTTGGAATTCCAGAAGTCATCATGGGCATCACGTTTCTGGCAGCCGGCACCAGTGTCCCGGACTGTATGGCAAGCCTCATTGTCGCCCGACAAGGTGTGTTTAAAGTGTCTCAGCACATATTTACATTGTTGAATCATGTATACCACCTAGCTTTTTTACACATTTGACTATGTTACAAAACTAAATCGCATTCACAAGCACACTTTTGACAGAAAACTGATTGGATGTTATTTGAATGCCTTCGCACTTCTTAAATTTCACAAAGTTGTATTGTGTGTATGTCAAATTGTTGCAGGGATGGGCGACATGGCTGTGTCCAATTCCATTGGCAGTAATATCTTTGATGTGCTGCTGGGCCTGGGCTTCCCCTGGGCACTGAGGACTATCGTCGTCAGCTACGGATCAGTGGTAACCCCAAGAGTTTACCTGATTGATGTCTTATACAGCTGACTTGACCCATGATCTTAATAACATAACAATATCATATTGGTTATCCCGTCTCTCCCCCTTGTCAACTCTTGACTCATATATAAAAAAAATACTTTTCTAAAATATATCTCATATCTGCATATTGCTCAGCATTTCAAAGAAGAAATGAAGATGCCTTTAAACGTGAACGTAGTGGAGGCCAAAATAAAGTAAATTACTGCACTGATGTATTTGTATTGATGTGTTCTGTATTGATACAACACCTTGAATGAACACAGATTGTATCATTTCTCAACATGTTAATGCTTTGTCATCTCTGTTTTTTAGGTGACAATCAACAGCAAAGGCCTGGTATACTCAGTGATTCTTCTGTTGGCCTCCGTCATACTCACTGTGAGTTAGATCCCCATCCTTTCTGATCATTGTTGTTCAAATTCAGTTAAATCATCTTATTTCTTAGATTGTAACCTGAGTAAACAAAGTCTGCACCAACATCTGCTGCCTGTTTTTCTTCACCAATCATTCCGTCTTGTATTTTTCCTGTCTAGGCCTGAGTGCCCTTGTCTCTGTTTTCAAACTCAGAGAATTATATTTCAGGCAGTGCAAAGGAAATGAAGCTCTCCGTCTTTCCGTCCATTACTTTCTCAGGTCCTGTGTGTCCATCTGAACAGCTGGAGGTTGGACCGCAGGCTGGGACTCTGTCTCATACTGCTCTACGCCATCTTCCTCCTCTGCGCCGTCGGCTTCGAGAGTTTGTAAAGGGCATGCACCCTCCCCATGCTCACTCACGTACAGGAGTCATACAACAGGACGCATGAACAAGATGTCCGACTTGTTCTCCTGCTTCACCGCTGCCGTTATCAGACGTACGGACGGATGAATTTTCATTTCACATGTTTGAGCAGTGTTACTTCGACACCGGCTGCCTAAAAAGCTACATTGTTTACCTTTGATAAACAAGTATTTTACATGGTTTTGTACCTCCAGCCCAGATTTTGTGTAATCAGACCCAACTGGTCTCGCAAACAAATTTATAAAGTATTGTATTTGTATTCTGAAACAAATATTCTATAAGAAACCCCAATGTGTGTAACTTATTCATATGTTATGACTGCCACGAGTAACCTCAATGACCAGATGATTACACATATACAGTTATGTAGTTGCTTCTCAGTACTTGAAGTTATTTTATGTAAAGTTTAATGTTGAGTTTCACGCCTTTGTGTCTGTGGTTGTAACCAGCAAAGCATGGCTGATCATCACGCTCCAGATAATTGCACAAAGCCGCTGTTGTCTTGCCCCCTCCCCTCCCCCCCTCTCTTTCCTCAAAGCTTCTCAGCACAGAGGTGGTATTTCTGTGCTGGAACGAAGGCAATGTGTTTATGAATGTCTGTGTTTGGAGAGAGTCCTTGAGTGTGTGTTGTTGAGTGAAATAAAATATTGTGTTCTGTGAGGTTTTGCTTATGTCTTCTGTAAATTGCTTTAACTTGCGCTTATAAGTAAAACGAGAATAAGACGACCAAAAAAACATCAAACCAAAGCATACACTATGAAATGTGTCTTGTATTTAACAACCAAATTAAAGGAAAACAAATAACATGTAAGGCATACGCAGTGAACCCTAACCCCAAGGGGGGTCTAGATAGAAAACTTTTGAAACTTACAGCTGAACAGTGAAATCCAAAAGTGTACACATGAACAAAATGTCTTTTTCATCTCACTTCCACATTAAAATGCTGAGCTAGGTTAGGTAGCAGCACAAGCATTAACATACTATCTTAGGACTTTTTTAGGACTTTTTTTCGACATACTATATTTTGACTTTTATAACTATGACTTTTTAATTACTTATTTCGACATACTATACCCTGGCTTTTTTATGACTTAACTAGAAAATGAGTATAACTTTTATGATTTTTTTCAAAATAACATACTATGATTTGTTTTTTCCACATACAATTACTTTTTTATGAATTTTTTCAACATATTACACCATAAGTTATTTCATGAGATTTTGACGAAACTATATTTGATTGAAACTATAAAAATTTGTATTTTCCCCAACAACAGCAAGATCCGCAGATGAATGATCCTCGAGGTCCTCATTTTCTGTCGTTGGACCGGGACCGGCAACTTACTATGACTTTTTTCGTGAGATTTTGACATCATACTATACTATGACTTTTTCTTATACATTTTTGACAGGCAATACTAGGATTTATTTATGACTTTTTTTAGACTTGTTTTTTTATATACAATATTATAACTTCTTTCGACATGCTAAACTACTCATTTTTTATGGCACTTTTATGGCATACTATACTACTAGTTTTTCAGAAGTTGTATATACGTGTATTGTGGTTGCGCCACAGATATTAATAATTGTTCCAAATGTGGAGCACAGTGCTTGCTATCAATATAATTCATGGGATGAAAATACAAGTTCTGTGGTTTTAGGAAATGGTGCAATAGTATAACATGGTGCGTTTACAGACTACTGTAATGTAGTTCGGAGACACAGAGCTATTACCTTTAGTACTTCAGCACTGTGGACAGCTACACCGCCTTCAGCTGGCTGGGTACAGGGAGCTGTCCAGGTGCTGAAGCCGAGACACACGCACGATAAACATCGATCATTCAACTTTCTTGACACATAACGAATGGTCATTGCACTCTGTATGCTGACTGTATACATTATACAATATGTAACGTATTCTACTTCTTATAGTACACCATTTTTGCTCTTAGTATAGAAAGAATCTGTTTTGTACCATCAAGAAATGTTACAATAGGTGTACCAGCGGACAGTCTTGAACCTCAAGATGCTTTTCCAAAGATTTCATATTTATACTTCTGTTTTCGTTGAGGGTTGTCAATCACCATCCATTTTAAGAAACATTTCACAGCTGTGAATAACCGCTCCATTTCCTGTGTTTGTCACATTTTCCTGTGTGAACAGCCTTGGTACTTAAGAATTGCTTAAAACCCCCCCCACCACAGAAGCAACACAATACGTTAACACCAAGTAATCTGCAGTGCAGACGGCTATGACTTATGAGAAAGGACTAGTGGAAAAGGTAATAATAAGATGTAGTATAATTCTATGTAAAACTAAATATTTGCAGCAGCACATCTCTTCTGTTTTGAGTTGAAGGAAATCAAAATGTATGTCAACTACATTATGCAATTCCAGCAGGAAAATATGTATTATTGTGTAAAACAAATACGAGCATGTAATTCAAAGTGATTTTATTTCAGTCAGGCTAAATTGGCTTTGATACCAAAGAAATGTAAAAAATAAAAATAGTACAACAAAGTACATAATTTTACAAATACTCAGAATGGAGGTCTGACATATCAGAATAATCAAATAAATTCAAACATGTCACAGTCATAACAAAAATAGAAAAAGTCAATACAGTACATAGAATGCATTAGGAGCTATATTGAAGTGTTTGCTATACCATAGACTTTACAAAATTCTACTAGAAAAAACTCCCCAATACCAATGGAATATCAGGTAATATAAAATGTAAAAAAAAGAAAAAAGGCACAACAAAAAAGAAACATTTGTGGTGTGAGTGTGTGTGTGCATTCATACAGGGCAATCTGCATGCAAATCTGCCTCAGTGTGACAAATGATGAAAGCAGCTACGTCTATAAATGATTCTGTGTCATCAGTTTAACAGCAGATGTTGACTTGTGAAGGATGATGTCACTGCAAAACTGTTTTCAAAGCTAGCACAAAACATCTTTGAGAAAAGGATGCACCTTTATGTTTACTAGTTTCCTGTATTGGTCAGTTTCCTCCAAAAAAGGAACAGAACTATCTGACTTATTAAAAGCCATGTTTTTCAAAATAAGAGAATGTTAGCTCTGTCTGCTGGAGAAATAACATTGAAGACAGGCATTTCACTAAATGTTTCTGAGCCCAACTTACATTATTATGTTCTGTTGTATAGTGTTTGCTTAAAGTAACTGATCAAACCAGTAACAGAATCAAAGATGATAAGTTGGTTTTGGTGCAACCCTAAAGAAGCAAGGCCAAAGATGTTGTGCTAACAGCTTAACGAGTCAAAGCCAAAGTTTTTTGTTGGGAAAAAATGAAGACTTTCTTTTTACCATCTTGTCCCACTGATTTAAAATGAAACAAAGATGGCTGACGTGATTATGATAAACTCCATGGGTAATTGTTGTGTGCATTTCTTACGATGGTGGACCTTGGCACTGACACCTCTTTAACAGATTTACGCTCCAATGGATCAGACAAAAGTACACAAACAAATGCCACTACAAAAGTCCACTAGTAACCAGAACAATAACAATAGTAGTAATAATAATAATAATAATAATAATAATAATAATATTCCTCGACCGTATAAGTGGTGATTTTTTTTATCTTTCTCCCGCATTCAGGGAGTAAAAATAGATATTTTGGCAGAAAAAAACTGTGTTGTCTTGACAGTCCACGCTGTGTCTTTGAGTGTGAAAGCGTGCAGATCATTAGCTGTGAGGCTAATCCGTTTGCTCCTGGGAGCTCCCATGGAGACAGCGGTTACTGCATGCTCTCCGTCTCTGTATCTAGTGTGTGTGTGTGTGTGTGTGTGTGTGTGTGTGTGTGTGTGTGTGTGTGTGTAACAGTCCAGAAGACAGTGTGTGTCTATACTGTATATACTCACAATATGTATGTGTTTGATGGCAAGCCGCGGGGGTTTTGCAGGCAGGTTGGTAGTGATAGTTTGATTCCCATGTTGACTGATCCCCCCCCTGACTCTGTAGATATTAAGACTTCTAACGCTGATCTGCGATCTGGCTCAGCTACATCTGGACAGAGCCTGGTGCTCTGGACTGAGAGGAGGTCAGATGTTGCCATCGGGGGCGGGACTTGTTGATATGATGTCACTCGGGGGTGGAGCTCTGGTTCTGCTGGTATATGGAGGCTTTGTCCTTCAACAGAACCAGGCACAGGTGGCAGCTCCAGCTCCCTGTACGCAATATAAACACAGTGAGGCCAGGTTTACTCCTAAATAGACTCAACAAATAAATACGCTTGACTGATAGTGTATTTCTACACCAGTGGTTGCATTTAAACAAATCATGATAACATTATAATTTACCTTCGCTCAATGCTTTTTACTGAGCAGAGCTGAACGCATCATAATGGAACCTCGGTACGTTTGCGCATTACTGCCAACATTACTAACATTAGCTCTGCTCCTCTCGATTTCAACATGGATTTATCAGTGATCAACGACTAAAAAGCACTAATGCCGATCACCCGATTGCATATTTTTACCGAATATCAGCCGTTAATAACCGGCAGTAAAACTGGCCTTCAACCAAGTGATGACATCAGGGATGTATAACAACATGTCCTTCGAGTCGGTTAACTTCTGCAGTATCAGCTTACCCTCCGGTGGTTCAGTCATGGGGGGACTTAGACAGTACATGTGGTAGCCTCGGTCACAGTCATCACAGAACAGCAGTTGGTCCTACAAAAACACAACATCCTGTTCAGTCCACTGATTAGACAGGAAGAGAACATCAGACAAGCAGAGGAAGGGAGACCGTTGTGTTCGTGAAGAAAACTTTGGCTGAGAGCTGCAGTGCTTGTGATAATTAACTTAACGATTCTGAATTTCATTGTATTCTAAAATGTAGACATTTCATTTTCACTTACAATAACTAATCTCATTATATTTGAGGAGTCTGGTGTACAATCTTGGGTGCAGTTTTACAATGAAAATGAGATTGAAATCTTGTAGTGGCAGTGAAGGGATGGTGCAATATTTAGCATATCCAATTAGTCTGTATTTCTGTTGGTAACCAACTTGCTGTAATCTTGTTGCCGGTTTTGCTTCATGTTTAACAGTCACATGGCCAGATATTAATCAGACCTACATCAGTAACGTTCGACAACTAAATCAGTAAACAAGGCAAGTGAGAGACACTGACAATATGTCCATAAACTTTAGAAAAAGCACCATTTTCTCTCCATGTCTGCCCTCTGTCCAAACTAACGCTGCATTAAAACAAAGCGTAGGTGATCACAGAGAGCGGAAAGTGGGCTAGGCCAGTGTTTCCTTCATGTCAGCTGCATGTATACATGTGTGCATGCATGCATACATGACCTGCAGGAAGGACGAGACAAGGGAGAAATGTTGTCAAGTGTGTATACATAAAAAGGGGCTTACATCGTTCTCTGAGGTGCCGCAAACATTGCAGCACTTGCACTCTATGCACTGCCAGCGGTAGGTCTTCACTGCCGCCATCATCACCGGCGTGAACTGCAAGCATGTCGGGTGGCCTGCCGGAAGGAGAGGACGTGGGAGAGATGTTGTCACGGAAGAAGCAAGAACAGAAAACTCGACAGGCATAGCAACAGTAACTATTGGGCACTGAGTGAACAGTCAATTAATAACGAGAGAGACATGTCCAGGTCATACCTGAGCGTCCACAGTCGGAGCAGGACACCAGCCCCTCTGATTGGCCAGTCTTCTGGTTTAAAGTGGAGTCTCCCAGACAGAAGTCACAGTAATCGTTGGGCAGTGCCAGCCCATTGGGACCCTTCTTAGTAGCTGAGAGGAGAACGAGTGAAGAAACCATTCAGTGCACCTTAAAACACTCTAAATTGAGGATGAATACCACTATCTTCTTCCAGATGAACATGTAGCTGTTGGTCTGACGGTAGTAAAATGCAGATTATAAATTAAATATTTTAAACTTTAAAGCAGAGACAAACTTGTTCATGCTCATGATCCAAACAAATGAACGACTGACAACTGACAAAACGCACGTGTTGAATGGATTTGCTAACACGATGTTGGGTGCACAAAACAAAAACAGCAATGCGATGGATATGTTGGAGGAAAGAAATTAAAAATATGAATGATATGCTTAAAAAAGAAGACAGGAATCCCAACTGTGCAAGCATGTTTCAGTCAGGAACACTGAGTCTAATCCCAAACTTGGGATTTAAAAACATGAAAATCAAAAAGTGAAAAAAGGTGTAAAACAAAATAATATAAAAAGACAAAAGAATGAGAGAGAGACTTCCCTTGTACAAACACACACATGCTCTCTCTGTCTCTCTCTCAGCACTAGAGAGTGACTCACTCTTCTGCTCCTCAGGCTGGCGAGGAGTGGGTGGTGCCTCGATCTCCTCGCGGTCCTCGCCCTCTTCCTCGGCCAGGTGAGAGTGTGTATAGTGGTAGCTCAGTCCAGGGCGGTTCTTGTAGCGCTTCCCACAGACTGACACACACACACACACACACACACACACACACACACACACACACACACGGTCATACAAAAGTGTTACAGTGATGGTGGCTAATTCTAACTACCGTCCAAAAAAAGGCCCAAGATGGAACCATAAAACTATGCTGTTAATCGACCGACAACCGGCTTTATTTTCAATTTTTTTCAACTTCAATATTTGGCTAACGTGCTAGTAGGCAATTCATACAGCGGAGGTGAGCATTTGCACAGTTTGATGTGGCCAGCAGGAAGTTACAGAGCACACACGGAGCGGCATCTCAGGAAGTAAAACAACGCATTTGGACTTTTTACATTTCTATGCTGTCAAACTTAAGTTCCAGACGGGGTCTTTCACATCGCACCATGCATGGCAAAGGGCTCGTTTTTGTCTTTCAGGGTAAAATGCAAAAGCCTCTCTTGCTGACATGCATGACACACGGACATTGCATTGAAAGAAACTCACTGTCGCAGGCGTACGGTTTTTCCCTCTCCTCCAGTGCTGCAGCCGCAGCCTCTTGTTTCTTCTTGCCGTTCTTGTCGCTGCGCCCCTATAGAACCCATTCAACAGTTGACACGTTTTGTACACTACTGAAACATCAATCCCACGGGGAACTGACTGCAGAAAAAGATGAGGCACTTACCTTGGACTTGCTCTTGCCTCGTCTCTTCGGGGTCTCATCCTCAAAGTCTTCATCATCCAGGTCGTCCAAGTAGTCGTCGTGGTCCAAGACTCTCTGCAGTGAGAAGGTTCTGGATTAGATCTCACTGTATTGAATTTATGAACTCTTCATTACTGTACTTTCCTAACATTTAGAGTTCAATGCTTGGGAAGACCTTGTAATACAATCTAAATCCATCCCTGTTCTTTGTCCTGTGCTTTAGCAACAACCTTGTCATACAAGTTACTGAATAGCAGTTGCATTGGCAGAAAACAGGAGTGTTAAGCCGGCTTTGAGCTGCACCTTGCGGACACGCCCAGAGGACGTGTGAGTGGTCGCCGAGGTGGCCGGAGGCTCCACAGCTGCCGAGTCATCCTCGGGGCCTCGAATGTCCGACACCCCGCTCCTCCTGTCAAGGGGCTCCCCCTTCAGTAGGGCCTCCAGACTGCTGCCATCCACTGCCCCCAACGCATCACGCTTCAGATTCACCTCCACATCTGCTGAACACACACCAAGCAAAACGGTAAAACATGCATTGCCATGATATGAACACAGAACCAGACAGAGGATCCTCCTGTGACAATTAAATACGAACAGATATTTACTAAATATATTTACAAAATTCTATGAGGATGAATGAACCCACGTGACTGTTTTTGTGATGGGAGACAGGATGTTCCACCAATAGTGATACCTGCTTTGAGAGGCGGGAAGGCCAAGCGGGGGTCCTCCGGTGGATGAGAGCGGCGTTTCTTTCTCCAACGACGGGCTGGGTAAGTGTACAGCTGCCCCGGAGCGACACCTGATGACACACAGAACCGCAAATATAGAAGAAGCAGCAGGCGGAGTATGTTTCGGTGTGATCTGTGGCACTTATAACTCCCCTTTTGTGTATTGAACGGTGTGTTTTTTGTACAGACAGCATGCTAAAAGTACAGTGCAAATTTAAATTTAAAAAGTGAACTGAAAGTCAATTAATGGCAGTATTAAATTATCATTCCACACTCATTATATACCTGCACTCCGGTGTCTCTTCTCCATCCAGATGTAACAGTTGGACTGGGCGACACCAGTCTGAGAGTCCAGGAAAGGCATGAGGATGCTGCGCTCAGCACACAAGCGAGCGTTGTAACTATGACACTGCTCCATGGCGTCTCTGTAATACTGCTCTCCCAGCCTGGAGTGAGAAAGTTGAACACTGATAAGTCAAATAACACAGATTACGATAATAATAATCATTGATGGATAAATATTGCAAATTAAGCTTTAAAATAATAAAACAGTGTAAATGAAACACAGTTGAGCTACAATGTAATATATGCAAGTAGTATCTATAACTGTCTCTGCATTCTCACACGTATGCAATCCACACTATCTTTACAATCTTAAAATGGCCTTGTTGTGTTCAAGTTTTATTTCTTTTTCTGGAGCTCTCAAATGCATCGAATTCAAGACTGTCTTCTTCATAAAGATTACCGTCTTTTTTTTTTTTTTAAAGAAACAATTACCAAGGCATGCACTTAGTGAGACATTTCTCAATTAAAATATAAACTTTTAATTCCCCTCAGGGCAAACAACTAGGCAACACTGTTTTTACTTAAATAAATATCTTTCTAACAATTTCTTGCTACAAATCTGCCAACATACAAACAGATAATTATATAGATGCAATAAGCCAATATCAGCCTGGCCAACACTACACTTAAGTGAAAAGGGGACACATTCACAATGAAAGTTATGTTCACATGAAAACACATTTTCTTGAATGGTTATGTGTCGCAGTAACCTAAACTATGTGATCACACACACACTGCACCGGATCATACCCATGTTCCCAGGGCATGTGTGTCTTGTGCTATAAACTAACATTATAAAGGGATTAGTAAGAGCCATCTTTGCTGTTGAAAATGCAAAAGAATGAAGGGGGCGGATGCTTCAAATGCAGTTTGAATGGTAAAAGTCAGTTGAGCCACTGTGGGGATATAAATGTGAGTGCAACACCAGTAGGCTATACACTTTGGGTGATTTTAATACATTGACCCAGAAAAACATCAAATTAAAGTGAACAATTGACCACGTTGCTGAGAACATAAAAACCGTCTGAAGGGTCTCCTTTGTGTGTTAACTTATATTAAGACAGTATTAAGCTGTCATCACTGCAGTGTTTCTAGACAACCGACTGTTACTTTGTGTGCATGTAGAAGCGTAATTCATGACTCTCACTTCCACCACTTTGATATTTCTATCATTTAACATGATCACACATTATAATAGGGCAGCCATTTTCGTTGTAACGCAACTAGAATGAATAATCACCATATGGTGAACGAGTGAGTGCCGCCGTTCCTCACAAATACAGCATTTGTTCTCGAACCAATCTGTCGCATTGTAATAAGCAGCCTGCTCTCAGGACTGTACTATCGCTACATGTATTAACAGCAAGCACACATCGACGAAGCCTGGCTTCACTACAACGCACAACAACATCAGTACCGATGGAGGGACGTCAGAACAAAAGGTTGATTGTTAGCAAGCCTCTCGTCACAACAAAGCACCCGCCAACCTGACAGGTTACTGCTAAAATAACGCTCTTATTTACCTGCAGGCGGCTGGCTAGCAACAGTTCGGATATATTGTGTGCAAACCCACCTTTAACATACCCATGTGGCTATGTTAGAAAGAAGTAATGACTAAATTACGGCTCCACAATGGGTTCGCCTCAAGTCTATTTGCCCACAGCTAACAAGCTAACATTAGCTCAGTGTAACGATATTCTCTCGGGACAAACATTGTACTGAAGATTAAGGATGCGATGTTTAACGCTACAGTTTTCAGCACCCTGTAGTAACATGATGATTGATCAATTTATAGATTCAACTCTGTCTGGCTGCTCGTTTTATTCTCACAACAAATAAAAGGTAAACTTACACTTTCACAACACTGTCGACGGCCGCCGCCATGTTTGCTTATTGCGGTTGTGTGAAGTGCCACTGCGCCTGCGCATGGACGTTAGTAACCGTTACCGCCTCCTAAGGTGAAAAACATGAAGTGCCCTTTAAACAGACTGCATATATCAATTCAGCAGACACTCCACTTTCACTAACAATAAGATACTTATTTTGATCAGACGACATTTAACAAACTGAATCTTTCACCTCGTTGATCAACTTTTCTTTTTCATTAAAATCTCTTAAATTGTTTTCACAGACATAAGGCCCAAACGTGCTGAAAGTGATAACTGACGCCAATTGATGCACTGCAGGCATCTGATTTCAGATGCCAACACTACAGGACAGACAGTATTTTATGAAAAGGCGCTATTCAGGCGTATTTTTGTATATTACAGATACCCATTCATCTTTTAACTTGATTTTAAAGGCCCAAACGCACTGAACGCAATATTTGGCGCACCTAACGCTTTTGGTGCTTGTTCAGCCGTTTAAAACAATATGTGTACTACAAAACTCCCGCTTCAGATGCTTTCAGTGCATTTGGGACTATATAATTGCTCAATCAGTGTCTAAAAACCAAACAATCAAATTCAAAATTGTCACTACCATTGTCAAGGCTGGATTACCAATCTTCCAAAGTGGGCAACTGCACAGCACGCCACATCATCAGGGGCCCCAAATGTACCAATTCACTGTTCAGTTGTTGTTGGTTATTGAAATACTTGTAAAGTTGTTGGAGAATGTGCACCACTAAATAACAGTATCAATTGGTCCCTAGCTCTAGGCAAAATGTGGTCACAATGTGAGACCAGGTTTAACTTGAATTCATCATTCATGAATCTATTGAAGCTAGTGTTTAACACTAGTAATCTAGTTATTGAAGCGATTTAGATACTAGCTAGTGTCGGTAGCTCTGAGACTTTAGGTATCAATCAGCCCAACAGTCCTCATACCTTTGAATTGGTTAGGAATAAAGACACAATTCCACAATTGATTACTAACACAAGCAGTAAAAACACAGCAGAAATATAACCAGCAACACACATACATAAACAAAGCCCTTATAAAAATGACAAAACATAAGACCAGCAACATAAAAACCAGGAGACATACAATGTAATGAAGCTGCCATCTTGAGCTGTGTAGTGTATACTGATGGGACTTCGGAGGCAACAAAGGCCAAGGGCCCCAAACACTTAAGATAAGATAAGATCAAATAAGATAATCCTTTATTAGTCCCGCAGTGTGACCATGACCTACTACACCAGACCTGAGCATTGTATGGCCGTCGCCGACCGGAACCGCGGAACGTCAATGAGAAATTAGGAATAAAACGTAAATAAGTGTAGCCTACATCATGCATGGAATACAGCTGCATTGCTTTTATTTTGAAGGCGACTGTTTCCGTTTTTTTTCTCAATTTACTACGTTAGTATGTTCGTGTATGTGCTCGAGCAGCAGCGTCACTGCAATCCCATTAATAGTAGTGTGGAATCTGGCCGGTGTATTTGGCCCGATTCTGGGGCGTAATTCATCCCGAGTCTCAGCCGAGTTTACGCCAGAGTTGAGCCAGAGTTGAGCCAGAGTTGAGCCAGAGTTGAGCCAGAGTTGGGCCAGAGTTGAGCCAGAGTTGGGCCAGGTCATTTTGGCTACCTGAGATGTGTTGGTGATGCAGAGCTGCACGGACATCTGAGGCCAGATTACTTTGTAAACTATTTTTTATGAAGAATTCACCTTCAAACACTAATGTATTTGCAGTAGGCTATAGGCAGCAGTCAGGTTTGCATTCATGTATCAGACATTCTTTCCTACATTTTTGAAAGATGTCTTGTCTGTCATAAGTTGATGGTATCTTAACATGTCTTCAGATTCATAAATAGTATACTAATCGTTTTTCCTTGTAAATAGTTTCTTGGAAAGCAGCTAGAAGCAGCTAGATATATAAAACATAATTAATTGCTCAGTTGACCCTTATCAAGTACCCAATAATAGTCTCACCTCCCCCTTTAAGAAGGGTATATGAGGGCTCATGTGACAGAGAGAGAGAGACAGGCAAACAGAGTGAAGAAGACAGTCCTAGATGAACCCATTCACACAGACAGTCGACCAAACGTTCAGCAGGCTGGTGAGTAAACCAGAGACATTGCAGTCAACAGAAAGCTCTAACTGCTGCTTTCTAAATTTGAACTTGCAGCTGAATTTTGAATTGAACTTAGTTTGTTTGCAAATGTTTGACAACATTAATCTGACTGTGAGACAGTAAACATATACTTTAGATAACATTACTGAGGACAACCCAGTGAGTAGTGCTGAAGTGAAAGTGTATAATGTTAATTGTGAGGTAACGTTAGGCTACTTTTACTGGGATTGATCCATTTTGTGCTACTTGAGATTATTATGTAAATATACTTCATTTCTGTGGACAATATTGTAACATTTTTTAAACTATTTTACAGATATAGTTAGGCCTACTACTTAACAGATTTTAAAAGGTAAAATATATAGGTCTTAAGCTGGACCCTCACCTGAAATATGACTATCATGTTAAAAAAAATGAGTAGATCTAATCAGGGACTGTCTAACATTTGATGCAGCCAAAATATATATATACGCACACAATGATTTTCTCATACCTCAGTCACTGTATTATGCAGTGGCAGGCCGTGCATTTTATACCTAGGCCTTCACTGCTGTCCTGCAGCTGACATACCACCTTATAACCACATGATGGCACCACAGCTATTATTCGTTTCTAAGGCTGTATCTATGTACGTATTCATATTAAACCGTTCGGTACGAGGCTTACAATACGTTTGAATAATATTAGACTACTGTAGAGCATTTGGAAAATGCAGAAGCTTAAATTCAGGAAAATATAATGTTTTCTGCACTCATGTAGGACAGTGGTTCTCAGCTGGTCTGGCTATAGGACCCACCATCATTCCAAGGATATCGTCTTATGATTTTACTTTCACAACGTACTGCTCTGCGATGTCTTTCCTCGTCTCAGCCCCCTGTGTCACGGTGTGTGGTACATCTCACTCAGTCAGAATGCCCATATTTGATTGGCTGAGCTGCATCACGTGATGTGATTCACAACGCCGACTAACCCTCTGCTGTTAAGTTTCGTTTCACGATAGTCACGTGCTCGCCCACTGACCAATCACAGCCCATGCTGTACCTCACTGCAGAGCTGCACATCGAAACTGAGCTGCACGTAATGCTGACGTAGCTATAGGCCGGCTAGCAGGCGCTGACACGTCAAAGAATACGCCCAACATGTCAAACTAAAGATCTGATTGGTTGAAGACTATGACAATCAACAATATCATATCCATTCACTTAAACTGCACATGGATGCACTTGTGAGTCTGCAGGCCTCGGCCTCTCTTCTTACCTAGAGACACAGAGGTGAAATCTGATTGGATAAAAGCTCAACTTAAAACAAGCCTTCACTGGAAGCAGAGCAACTGAGGAAGACAGTAGCTTTTGCAATGAGAAAATAAGCTAATGGGGAAAATATTTTTATAAATTATAATACATGTAGTGTATTTAAGAAAAATTATAAAATTATAAAATAGATATAGCTTTGTGATCCTTCAGAGAAGGCTTTGCAGGCCCTGACGGCCTGCCACTGGTATCATGGTCGCATGCAGGCAAGTTCATCATTGACTCAACCCCAAGATGGGTTTGACAATTGTGAGATTAAACATTTGACAAAAGGTCACGGATATCACAACATTGTCACTTCCTGCAAAAACTGAACATGCTAAATGTTCAGCTTTGAACAACTACATTGCGTTTGCAAACAAGAAGTGTTAACATGGCCAGGCCCCTCAGGCTCTCTGCGACATGGTGCGACTGTTACAGGCCCTTGGATTGTCCACGACAAACAACAAAATATGCCACATAGTTTTATATTTGTTATTTCAAAGGCCTTTCTAGGGACGAGTCTTGGAAATTAGCAGAAGCTAAATATGCAGTGATACACTGCAGTTGTCTCTGCCAAATAAACATGAAATTAAATGAAAATGAAAAATCGACACCGATAATACTACAACTACAACTTTCAGAGGCTACTTAACGATGTTTTCTTTCTTAACTTCAGTTCAGTCAACAATTTAGGTTTTTGCTTATTTAGCCTTGAATATTTAATAGTAGCTTTAGAAACATTCTTGCGATTTTATACCAGAGAGCTGTCTCCCGGTCCCAGTCCCCAGCACAAGCCATACAGCTTTCTCGTTCTGTAATATGTGAATCTATATGACAGTATTAAAATAAACAAAATATGTCCACACTTTAAATAAATTATGTAAATTTTGTTCCAGACCAAGTACAAGTACATACATTTGGGTACTTCACTGATAAAAATGTCCTGCTTGATCTACTTAAAAAAAGTTTTGCAAAAAATACATAATTTTATATACGTAAAATATAAATTTTCAGGTTAGGTCAATTTATTAGTAGTATGTAGATCAAGCAAAACTAATATTCTACAATGACTTTAGGACATATTTCTTATCCGCTCAGTTTTTTGTTTTTTTTCAGTACCGATATGAGTACTTAATAATAAAATAATACCAACCCCCTTTTACTAAAATCAGCAGGTGTCAAACAAGACATGGGAATTTTAAGAGTTGTAGTATATAATCACAGACAAATAAACTGCACACACACTGCAGTGCTATTTTCAAAGCTATGATGTTACTGTTGATTTTACGAGTACGAGTAGGCTACATGAGCACAGTAACTGACTGGTGCATCTACAGCAGGGGTGGGCAATTATTTTTCCCAAGGGGCCACATGAGAAACAAGGACTGTTGTGGAGGGCCGGACCAATAGACTGAACTCGATCCTAGTGTGTCGAACAGGATAACAGTGCGTAGAACAGGATAACAGATATATATTATATCGCAATGAGATGAATGAATAAATGAATGAATGAAAAAAAATAGATATATAAAACGATTATTGTATAGTTAATCCACAACTAAACCTACACATATCTAACAGGCTACAAGACA